TACACAGTTCTCTCTCTCTCTCTCTCTCTCTCTCTCTCTCTCTCTCTCTCTCACACACACACACACACACACACAGAGCAACAGTTCCTGAAATGTTGCTTCAAAGTGCCTTTTTAAAGCCTATTTGATTATTAAGCTATTACAGCATAAATTAAAGCTATTTTGAGCATATTAGCAGAAATGTTCTGATTCTATACATCTGATTTATTGGAATGCAATAATTTTATAAATATAAAATACTTAATACGAATCTCATTGTATTCCTTAAAACCATCATCCTTACTCAGAACTAGTACTCATTCTCTGGATCTATCCAATACCAACTACATGGCTTTAGGATGCTGTATATCTAACTAGATACTTCCATAAAATACAATAGTAAATAATTCAGCATGGATTACAAGATTTTGTGATCATAAGTCAATGTCTGTAATACACTTAAATAGTGACTAAGACAGGATGAGCACTTGATTCATAAATGATGAGTGTTGGTGATAAGGCTGGTGGTAGCAAGAACAGTAATGATGCTGATGGTAAGGTGATAGCACTAATAAGATTGATAGTGGAGATGGTGATGTAGATAATGGTGATGATGGTGACATGGATATGGCGATGGTGACTATGTGGATGGCAGTGATAGTTGTCCCAGTGAGTACATTGGTGGAGGTGACAATGGATATTCTCATGACTGTGACTGTTAGGACAATTGGTTCTCTAGGAAAACAATCATATTACCTTGAAATATTTTATTTTAATTTCTTTTCCAAAAGTCTCTGATCGTGTAAATAGAATCTTCAGAATCTCCAGAATAATATCAGAAACAGTGATAGTTGAAGTCAACATTTGATATCTGATGGTGACGGATAGGATAACAATGTTTCAACATGAGGAATTGCTTTGGCTTATGGTCTGAGATTCCCATTATCCTGATAAGGAAAGAATCATCGGTGATTTTATTTTTCAAGCTACGGTGTGCATTGGAACTTGCCACCTCTGTGGTAGTAATTTAATATGGTCCATCCAGTTTTTCGTGTGTGTGCATCAGCTCGCTGGGTACTTCGTCCAGTTTGTAAACTCTGCAATGTCTGTGAAAATTATCCTCTGCCCCTTTTTAACTTAGCTCATTTTTCTTGCATAAGCAATTTTGGGGCAGACTCTCTAACACATAAACTGCCTGAGCTCTATATAATAAATTAATATCTCCCTTCCTCTCTATTTTGGAAATAAGTGTGTTATGTATGTTTCTACCTGTGAATATACACTACTGGCCCTAAGGGGGACCCCAAAAGTCACTGGGCAGGAAGAATTACAAGTACGAATTCTTACCTTGAATAAGAAATAGTTTTTCAAGCAGAGAAAGATGGAATTTTTTCATAATGTAGATTAAAATTTTGCCTGCTTAGTTAGGCTGATTTTTTTTTTAAATTTCCTTCCTAATTTTATTAAGTCGGATGAGGAACATGTACTTTTATTGAGTCTTGTTATTACTGCCTGAACTTATCTCAAAGTAATGAATTACACAGAAAATTGTTGATTAAAATGGATTTTTTAAAAGTGAAATATTGATGAGGACAACTAAAAAAGAAGACACCTTTCCCCTCTTAAATATTCATACGTCATCTAACATACTGCCCCTCTAACTTTTTGGAAAAGTAGTGTTTTTCCTATTTTCATGGGGAGAAAAGATTTTATAGGACTCAGCAATCCGCGCAATTTATGAGCCTGCCGTGTTAGAAGCTAGACTACAGCATAAGAGACCTGTATAACTTCCAGAGACACAGATGTGTCCACCTCAGCAAGTGTGAGGAGACTTGAGGCACATTCATCTTTAAGTTGAACATTATTTTTACATTAAACAAAGAAAGGGACATTTCTTGACATTTTTTATCCTCTTAAATTAAACAAGGTCCCACAAGAATTTGCCCACTTTAGTTGTATGTCCCTGTGAACCTGTCACTACAATTATAATTATAAATTTCTTGAAATAATGAAGGAGTTGAGTCAGGGACAGAACATGACAGAAGTAATCTATACAACCTCTTTGGCTTGCACTGGGAGTCCAGAAGCAAGGGAGGTGCTATCAGCTTTCCCGCAGGTTTCTTATTCTTGTGATGCCCCAATCCTTTCTTTCTGACTGTCCCTGTTGGTCATCCTGTTACATGTGAACTGGTTTGTCTTTCCCTCTGAGCTCACTGATCACAGCTTCCTGCTGAAAATTAATGGCAATTGTCCAGTGTTGCTTTCAGAGGCTGTATGAAATCAAGCAACTTGTCCAAACTGTCAATCCCCTCAGCAGGGATTGGCCCCTGGTGTTTCACACTCAACAATAAACAAACCACCAGACAGTGTATTTGAAGGAGAGTGATTGACACTAGAGAATGCTTCCTAGATTTCTTTGACTATCTTTGTGTACCTAGAAGGCCTCCTGCTTATTGATGCAATACCGGCAAATTTGGTTTATGGATGAAGGGCCAAAGCCATTGCAAATGACTTTATCTGAGAGCAAGGAAAAGTCAGAGAGCTAAGCCTTCAAAATTCAAGAAAAACAAAGGGTATAGATTAAAACTAATTCCCACCCTGCATAGTAGAAACAGAATGTTTAGGATATGCCTCCAAATGTAGTCTTTGACATACCGCTCCCCTGGCTATCATGGCATTTGGTTCCAGCTGTATGGCAACTATACACTGTGCTGCATTTCAGTAATGCCCTGACTGATTTATTGAAGGCTATATTATGCCTGTCACTCAAAAATTATTTTCTGACTAAATGAACAAATGCATTGTTTTATGTAATTGAATTAATGTATAGAAAATACATTAGCGACTACCCAATTTCAAGGTCACTATGATTATAGGTATATAAGAGTAATTTACCACAATTGCTTTATGACTTACTGTGGAAAATTATCAAACAAATGCCAATGAAGAAGAATGAATAATGCTGTGGTTCTTTTTTTTTTTCTACAGATGTGCTGGACCAGGTCTTCAAGGATGTGAACCACCAATTGGGTATGTTCAATGATGTTGGATCTGATAGACCTTTTGGATCTAAGACCAGAAGCCATCTCTGATTTCCCTCTCACCTTCCAGTTTCTTCCAAATCCTCTGGGCCAGCCACAGGTCTCAGGTTCCGCCTTCTTGATCTGGGTCTGCTTTGTTGGTCAGTGGACAGCATATGTGATGGACAGCGCTAGTGCCAGCTTCACAGAAGGCTGACACTATGGACCAGACCTATCTATGTATCTGTTTCTGCAAATACAGCTGCTTTACATAAGGCTCAGCACTTCTCAAAGCCTCCTCTTTTCCTCTCAGTATCCCAAGGGGTCATGTCACAAACACGATGTGAAGGACATTTTTGTCAAATGAAAAGATCTAACTTAAGGACATTTTCTATTTTCTTTCTTCTTGAAACATGTTGCCCAGCAAAGCAAATAAATTTCCCTCATCATTTTGTTTCTAATCAGTTCCTACTATTGACTGAAATGCTGCCCCAAGGAACATTAAATTATGTAATTATGTATGAATTTCCGTTCAGAGTCGTCGTGCAACAGTGGTATCAAGCAGCCAGCATGCAGTGCAGAACTGAGATTGTCTACAAAATACCTGCTTGATCCTTAGGCTTATATCCCAGTTATAGGCGTGTCTACAAAACTCCCTTCTCTCACCATCTCTGCCTTAACTTCATCCTGTGGTAGCTGATCTCTTCTGTCATCAACTAAAATAGCAAAATAAAGTAAAGCCTGTCTCAGGCCTGGAACCCTTCTGAATCCTGTCTCCCCTCTGAGTTTCCAAGGACACTTCTCCAGCAATGACCCCTGTCTTCCTAGGCAGCCTCCAGGACTTGCTTAAATGGTTTTCTGAATAATCCCCACCTTTAAAACAGTCAGAGACCATGCTTCGCAAGCATTTCTTTATTAACAGTTTTCTTTTTGTACATCATTTATTATTAATATTTTTAAGAAAGACGTTTTGTTTTATTTTTTATTATTCTGATCACTTTTCTTTTATTGGATATTTTCTTTATTTACATTTCAAATGTTATCCCCTTTCCAGGTCTCCCCTTCAGAAACACCCTACCCCATCCCTCCTCCCTTACCTCTATGAGGGTTCTCCCCCACCCACCCACCCATTCCTGCCTCTCTGCCTTGGCAATCCACTACACAGAGGCATTGAAGACCCTCAGGCCCAAGGCCCACTCCTCACACTGATGTCCAGTAAGACCATCCTCTGCCACATATGCAGCCAGAGCCATGGATCACTTCATGTGTACTCTTTGGTTGATGGTCCAGTCCTCGGGAGCTCTGGGGGGATCTGAGCAGTTGGCACTGTTGCTCCCTTCATGGGACTGCAAACTCCCTCAGCTCCTTCAGTGCCTCCCCAACTCATCCATCGGAGACTTCGGTCCAAAGGTTGGCTGTGAGCTTCTGCCTCTGTATTCGTCAGGCAGTGGCAGAGCCTCTCAGGAGACTGCCATACCAGGCTGCCATTCTTTTCTAAACCACCTGCGTTTGGTACTGTGGCTTCTCAATACATGCTCTGAAACAAATCATCCCTCATATATTCCAATGAGCACTTTTAAAACTTTGAAAACTCATTAATTTTATTAGTAGGGGGTTGTTCTGTAGCGCAGGAGATGACTTGTACTCTCTAAGAAGGAAATGTTGAAAGCACCATTTCATGATGTACAGTTGATTCAATTAAGACAGGTCTGTGAGGACTTTGGTACCTTATCTATATGTAAATAGTGCTGATACTGAATCTTTGCTATTCATTAACATGTTCTCCTGAAAAGAAGAATAAATCTAACAGAAACTCTAATGGAGGCAGATTCTTAAGGATAATAGCTGTCAGCCTAGGAGGACCACACCACCATAAAAGAAATAAAATATAATCCTTAAAGGTTCCAAATTCAGAATTAGTAATATTAATTCAGATACTCCTTAGTGAAATTGAAGACATGACTTCTGATTTTTCATATTTCTGAAATTAGACTTGACCTTGGTGAGACAGCAAGTTAATGAATTCCTGGGGTTTAAGGATACCATGGGGCAACAGTCACAGCAATGGTGATGCTTTTTATATCTAAATCCTATCGGGTTTTGCTTCCATTGAGTTCATTGATTCACATTGGGATCCCATTAAAAGTAGGAGACCCTGTCAGGGTCTCAGTGTGCCTGGAAGGTCTCCCAATATGGCTATGGGAAAATACCTGACAATTTTTTTCATTTGCATGTATGTTCTCCTAGAAAGAATGAAATTCAAGTTCATATAAAAAGTAGGATTTACTTATACTAAAGTTCCCTACACCTAAGGTTCAGGTGACATGATGGCACAGAGGGTACAGTCTGTAAGAGCCAAAGGACCAGGATGTCTGTTCTTAATGTCTGCTCAAAAATATAGTCTGAACATCACCTGCACAATGGCAGTACTGGAAATCTCAAAAAAAAAAAAAAACAAAAAAACCACCCCTAGATGAAAAGCTACAGGCTTTTCTTTGTCTGCTAAGAGGGGGAGAATCAATTTTCTCCAGAGACAAGCCGCTGATAAGTTATCCAATTTCGTTTGATCAGCCCTAAACATATACGGACACGGACAGGATTGACAGATTGATAGCTGTCAGCAATACTAAACAGACAGAGCCAGTTGTATACATTTACAACTTGGGGCATGAAGGGAGTTTGTGGTGGAGTGAGGAGAATAGTAATGATGTAAATACAGTACTCATGTATGAAATTCTCAAAAAATAAACATTAAAAAGTGGTATTCTTTTCTTAAAATGCTTTCTGAATTTTATATTAATATTTTCTTTATCAAAAGACTATAAAAATAATTATAATACTGAGAGAAGTTGAGTTGAGGCCTCAGTTGTCTTTAATTCTGAAAAGGAAACTGACTTCTGGCAGAGATGCTAAAAAATGTTGGAAACCTTGCCTTGGAACTTAGCGGCCAGTACATTCCCCTATATAAGCCACACATATCCCAATTTCTGAGATAATTTTAAATGTTATCACTGTAGTAAGAGGTACAGGACACGTGTAAAATGCCCATATTACCTTCTCTTGTCTCTTATTCCAGGCCAAAGATCCCATCTATTGCCACTGGGATCGTGGGTGGCCTCCTCTTCATAGTGGTGGTGGCCCTTGGGATCGGCCTGTTCATGCGAAGGCGTCACATTGTCCGAAAGCGTACCCTGCGCCGCCTGCTTCAGGAGAGAGAGGTGAGCAACGAGGCCTGGTTGCCTCTGGATCAATAACATCCTCATTACCACCAACTGCTGCCCAGGAGGAAAAAAAAAAAAAACCTTCCTTTGAGAATTTGTAATGTTGAATTTTATATATTCGAGATTGTTGTAGCTTTCCATCAGTATAACAAATACCCATGAAAATTCATGTTTGAAGAACAAAAGTATGTTTGACTCATGGTTTTAAGAGGTTCTGGGTTAGCAACATTGTTTTGTGCTTTGGACAGGAGTGCATGCTGGAGCTCATTAACTCACCTCATGCCAGGGAGATGGAGCTAGTGAGACAATCTCCCTTCTAGGTAACTTGTCCCCAGTCACCTAAAAGCCTCCTTGAAGTCCCAGTCTCATAAAGGCCCCATTACTACCTAATGTCATCATTCATGATCCATTTTTAACACATGGGCCTTTGGAAGACACTTGCCCAAACCATAGCACATACATAATTGTCATTATTATTTATATGTTATGGTGGAAGAATCAAAAAATTTCCAATTATACACAATTAGTTATTTGGAAATCTCCATTCAACAAAGCATGTGTTTTTACTCAGTGTCTTTTGAAATACAAAGCTTAGTGGTGGCCTACTGAGGGGTAGCTCCTGGTCGTGTTCCTAGGAAAAGAGTCACAAAGAGAGAGATTGAAATTTTATGGTGGCTGCTCCTTTATGACATCTCTATGGCATGGGTCTTAGGCTTCACAGCCCTTAGCACAGCACCTGTGTCTGGCATTGCGTTATGAAGCCTTTGCCCCTCATAAGCCTGGAGGCATTATGAGATCCAGAGATGGCCCAAATGGTTATGGTATAACATTTTTCTTGCTACTGTACTTCAATTAAAACTGATTGACAAAACAGAAATGAAAAATACAGTCCTCAAGTGTAGCTGTTGTGTTAAACACCTATATTAGAGGATCTGTGTTACTAATGCATATTAGTTATGTACTAAGTACATACTAAGTAATATATATTACTAAGTAATGTATATTACTAAAAACAGATGTCCACTGCTCCTTTTGAACACACTGCTCCTTTGAACATAGCATGGCCCCATGCTGTTAGTTGCTGGACACTCTTGCTCTGAATGACTCAACTCTACCTCACATATTGTGGAATATGGTGCTAGCTTCTCAGGTCTGCTCCCTTCTTCACAGCTCGTGGAGCCTCTTACACCCAGCGGAGAAGCTCCGAACCAAGCGCTCTTGAGGATATTAAAGGAAACAGAATTCAAAAAGATCAAAGTTCTGGGTTCGGGAGCATTTGGCACAGTGTATAAGGTAACATTCCTGGAGACAGGTCTGCACTAGGCTTCTGGGAACCAGTGTTTGCTGTGCTCTTCTGTGTGGGTAAATCAGATTCGAAGTAATTTGATTTTTATCAACATCTACCTGTTTAATTGAAGGTGTAGGAATTAGTGTCCCCCCAGGCTATTGGAAGGGATTTATTTTTTGTTATCACTGTGAAATCAAAAACATTTTCATAGACCGCGATAAAGGCATAGACTGGAAGCGTGTGCAACGGGTAGAGACATATAGGGGCTACTTTTCTTGAACTGTTAGAATAAATCATGGAATGAGCATTTCAATCTTCTTTTCTAGATCCATTTTTTTTATAAAGTCTGATTCCAGTTTAAATTATTAATGAGCCACACTGCATTTATAACTAGCTGTGTTGGTTACATCTCTATTGCTGTAATAAAACCATAACCAAGGCAACTTACAGTAGACTTTATCTTAGCTTACAATTCTGGAGGGTTAGAGTCCATAATGGCAGGGGAGCATGACATCAGGCTGCAGGCCCAGTGGCAAGAGCAGGAAAATGAGAACTCCCGTCTTCACATGCAAGCACAACGCAGTAAGAATGAACAAAAATGGTGTGAAACTTCTAATTTCATAGCACTCTTGTAGTGATGTACTTGCTTATGCAACAGTCTCCACCTACACTTCTCCAAACAGTGCTACAAACTAGGAACTAAGTATTCAATATCCAAGGCCATGGTGGACAGTTCTCGTTCAAACCATTACACCAGCTAAAGCACACTTTTTTTTTTTGCCGCGTTCTTACTATGTAGCCCAAACTGATTTTAAACTCAACATCTTTTGATAGTGTCTCAGGGGCTGTGATTATTGGTGTGGGGCATTAATACCCTTGGGAGGTCTATATGATTGTTTTAAATAATTGGAATACAATTGCATCACTTTCTCTCCTCCAATTTCGTCCTCTTTCCCTCCCAGGCATCTTTCCCCCATCCTTTCCCATGACTCCCACTCTTAAGTTAAGAGCTCCTTTTTATTTATGATTATCAAACATACATATAAGTATATCTGCGTATACATATGCACAAATATATAAATACAACCTATAGTGTCTATTTTTGTTGTTTGTGTGTATATGATTTCAGGGCTGATTTCTCTGCACTGGACAATCAATAAGGGGGCTCATCTCTGGGAGAAGCTAATTCTCCTCTGTGCAGTCATTAGTAGCTATAGTTTTCCCCACCTAGGGTAGGATCTCATGAAATTTCCCTCTTCCGTCTTAGCATACCGTTGATTTTGCAATGTTCTCAACTTGTTAATGCAGCCATGTCTAGGAAAACCATTTCACAGCAGACTTTCTGGTATTTTGGCTCTTAACAATATTTCTGGCACCTCCTCTGGAAAATTGGCAGTTGATCTCTGCATTTTGTCCAGTTGTGGTTTTCTGTGATAGTCTCCATTTGCTGTAAAGAGAGGCTTCTCTGATATGGAATGGCATTTGTTTGTTTCGATCCAAAACATTATTCAGATTCTTAGAGCTTGATAGCTAAGAGCCTCTGAGATATAAAAAGTCCCAGCACTGTTGGCTGTGTAATGCAGAGCCCTTGAGGACGAGGACTGGGGTCCTTAATAAAAATGCAGCCAGCTCCCAAAGCAACATGTTTTAGGTTAACGTCAGCCCTCTTTTTAATCTCAGGGTCTCTGGATCCCAGAAGGTGAAAAAGTGAAAATCCCTGTGGCCATCAAGGAGTTAAGAGAAGCCACATCTCCAAAAGCCAACAAGGAAATCCTTGACGTGAGTTTCCTTTTATGTCTCCTTAAGCACGACTTCATAGAATCAATCTTGCTTCCTTAGTTCACGTTTTAATTCATTTTGGATGCGTTAATAAATTATACCCAATAGTGTGGTTTTGAGCACTGCTTATAAGGTAATAACATAAGGAAAGTTTAGAAGATCCTGAGCGATAACTATGTTCCAGAAAAGAAGCTGGAGATCTGCTTTTGGGGACCTTAGATGAGGAAAGAGTAAAATCATAAAAGTCAAGTGCACCCTTCATCTCAGAAACCACCGAATCTGACACCTGCATCACAGTGCTCTGCTCTAAGCTTTTCCCATCACTGTATCATAAACAATCAGTTTTACCTCTTTTTATCCTTCTTAATATAGAAAGAACAGTTCTCTCCAAGACTTACTGTATTTCTGAACCCCAAAGAATCAAAGCTCAGTGTTAATATATTTTCCCCATGGCCACTCTTGATGCTAACATCTTAGCATGTGTTACCACAGTGGCTGTGGGAGGCACCCACAACACAGGTTTTACAAATGAGGGGATGGAGGCATAAAGTAAGTCATTCTGGTTTCTATGACTGGGGTCTGAGAGCATCACAATATCTCAAATGAGCATTCATTTTGCTTTGCTCTATTAGCTGTCTTTGCAAATAAAAAAAAAAGCTTGCTTTTATGAAAGATGCCATACACCAACAATGTGAAGCCTACTAGACTACTATCTTACCTTCTAAGCCTCTCCCAACTAATTTAAATATCACCTACCCCCCCACCCCCACCCCATGTTGCTGATTGATTCTTTCTGGAGCATTTAGGAGGTTCTACAAGAGCATCTTTTTACTTTGAATTCTACTGAATTTCCCTCTATTTTTCCTAACTTTCTTAGCCCTTGATAGGACTGAACAGAAATACAAAGAAGGTAATGCAAAGAGAGTGTCTTGGAACTGGATAGAGCTCACTTCAGTATCTGCCAGGGCTTCTGATAAGATGTTGAAAACCACACCTATCCTGAGACAGAAAGTTGAAGAAAGGCAGAGAATGCTCAGGGGAGCTCCACATTGCACATTGCTAATGAGAGAAAAATTCATGAATGCAATGTCACAGAAAATCATGTGTGCTGGCAATACACTTGTCAAGCAAAATTATCTTTGATTTCAGAATTTACAAATCAGTGCCAAGTCTTATTAACATAACCAAGGACAAGCAGCCAGGGGCCTGGGAAGCTGGTTTACTTACAGTATCTCAATTATATTTGTTAAAAAGAAAATCATATAGTCAATCTTACTTCCTTAGTTCATGTTTTAATTCATTCTGGTTGTGACAGAATTATTCTTGGTAACAAGTTACACCCAATAATGTGGATTTGAGCACTGTTTACAAGTTAATAACATAAGGACATACTGTTCTGAATGATAACTATGTTACAGAAAAGAAGCTGAAGATCTGCTTTTGGGGACCTTGGAGGAGGAACAAGTAAAGGCATAAAAGTCAAGTGCACCCCTCATCTGAAGGCCCCCGTTCTGCTCTTTTTTTTTGGTCTCTTTCTCTTTCCATTGCTCCTCCCTGACTTTTCATTCTTGTTACCTCTGGTCTTTTCCTTGTGGATCAACGGTTGTGGCTGTACCAGCTAGGTGACAATGGCCTTCTGGGTTGCTTACCAAGAGTAAGGGTCTGTCAGACATACAGTGCATCCTTCAGCACAGGGCCATGTGCTTTCTGTTGCTGGAAGGCTCAGAGGGAGGCAGGAGCATGAAGGAACCAGTTTCTGCTGAAGGAAGCAAAGCCTGTGTTTCTAAGACCAGTTTCAACAGGGCACTCAGTAGCACATCAATCAACATTGCCACAAGAACATCCCTCAGTGAGCTGCTTCTTAAACACTGGCATGAATTTGTAAATAGTTCCAGAAAGCCCACACTTTGTGGTCTAGCTCCCCTGACATGGATTTTAGTAACTTAATTAACTGGTTAAGACTTTTAAATTTCATAGGTTCCTACTTTTCATTTTTCTTAAAAGTGTGTGTGTGTGTGTGTGTGTGTGTGTGTGTGTCTGTGTGTGTACACTCATGAGCTCATATACATCTGTACATGACAGGAGAGTGCCCTGAGATGGATGTTCCACAGCACATGTGTGGAGATCAGAGGATGACTTTGTGCCGTTGCTTCTGTCCTTATATATCTGTGTAGGCTGTAGGCTCCAGGGGTCATACCTGAGCTCTCAGCCTTCCATAGCAAACACTATCACACGGCAAATCATCTCATTGGCCCTCTTACTGTTCATTTTTAAGATTTATGACTTTAAAACTCTCAAAAAATTTAGCATCTCCTGGGATCCTTTGCCCCCATTCATAAAACAACTAATCCAGAAATGAGTAAGACAGCAAAGAAGGACTCAAATTTCCTTTTAGCAATAGTGACAAACAGTGGCCTTTCAGGGTCACTAAAGCCTTGGGGACAAACCAGCCTCCAGTGAGACTGGGACGGAAGCCATCCGGGTCTCCCTTATGAGTATTGCCTGCTTGTAGCTGGTTCAAAGACTGTTGTGGGATACCAAGCATATTTGCTACGCACCTTCCCAACTTCCAAAATAAACAGAGAAGAACAAAGCTCACTTTAACTTTTGCACACGACTACACAACACTCCCATTGTACTGGGTGTGGGCAGGAAGTGACAACCCAGTTCTGTTTGTCTATCATATATTAGTAGGACCAACTGGCAGGGCTCCAGGCTCTGTGTGGCCTGACACCCACGGCCCCGGCTCTGTTCCTGTCCCAGGAATCATCAGCCTATGGCAGTTAAGCTGCTCTCTGCTTCAGTTTGCAGATGTTTCTCTCCCCCTCTAAAATGAATACAATATGTGCCCAAATCTCAAACACATCTCGAGAAAACAGGCAGAGCCAGAGGATTTCTTTGCTGTTATGATTGTACAGCTTCCTAGACCCAGAGGAGAGATGTGATCTGTGCTTTGCTGGCAATCCCACGGCCTAATAACTTTCCCATATACTTTCCAGTTTAAATTTAGGCCAAGCAATGGAAAGAAAATGCAAAACAGATTTATATACTGCAGCATATGTGAGTGAGTGAGTGAGTGGGGGTATGTGTGGGTGTAGGAGTATGTATGTGAGTGTGTGTGCGTAAGAATGTGTGAACGTGTGAACGTATATGAGCATCTCGAATGCGTGTGTATCCATTTCAGAGGTTGGAACTGGTACATGGAAAGTGCTTCTCTGGTTGATCTTCGAAGAGGTTTTATGTGCCGGTTTCTTGACCAAAATTTCTTGCCACTGTTCACAATTCAGTCTGGATCAAGCCTTCCATATTGGAAAGGGGGAGCTTCCTCTAGAACACCTGCTGACTCCGATCTCTCCTGCAAAACAAGGTCTTTACAGTACCAATGACCCATGCTCACTTCTGATGAAGTGAGAAAGCCATCCACTGTCTAGGATATACTGGGATCCAAACATGGATCCCATAAAGTACTATCACCATTAATAACCTTGATATGTAGGGAGGAGGATCTTCTCAAGGAAGATAGTAGCATTTCCTAAACTCTGAAATATCACAGTGATTCAGCTGTCTTTTTTTTTTTTCATCAAAGCTTTTGCCAATGAAAAATTCCATGTGGGTCTTTTCCTCTTAAATGAAACACCCCAAAAGAGTCTACCTCCCACAGTATATTAGCATTTAATAGGCTTGAATAACCTGACACTTGTATACAGAGTACATACTTTTAAACCAAAAAAAAAAAAGGTAATTTTATTTTACCCGGAAAGGGAACTGTGTGCTTCTCTCATCAGCCAAGAAATAGCTGTGCTACATCTGCTGTCCTTACCTTGTAGGAAGCCTATGTGATGGCCAGTGTGGACAACCCTCATGTATGCCGCCTGCTGGGTATCTGTCTGACCTCCACTGTCCAACTCATTACACAGCTCATGCCCTATGGTTGCCTCCTGGACTATGTCCGAGAACACAAGGACAACATTGGCTCCCAGTACCTACTCAACTGGTGTGTGCAGATTGCAAAGGTAAGCACATTGGGAGGTCTGCCCACTGGTGTACCCCAAGAGCCAATGGCAGGTTTCAGGAGCAGAATCAATGTTTCCATATAGTACAGAGTACTTTGATATGTTGTTCTCCGCCCTGGTCTTCCAGGGGTGACAGTGATCATTGGTAAGAACACTAAGAAAAGCAGCAAGAGTGATATAGGAGAAATGAAGAAGATCTATTAGTTTCTCCATTCTGGGTACCTGAGTTCACCGAGAAGATATATATGTATGTTTGCATTCAGGATATGTAATTTTCCTTATTTTAAATTCCATTCAGTTTCGTGGCTTGAGCACTGAACCAATGGCCACATATTTCATGTTGAAATTCTAGCCATTTCACATGAACAAGTTTTCTCCATATGTGGTACACAGCAATGCTGGATTTTGTCTTTGTTTCTCTAGAGTCCTTTTTTTGGTGAACACTGTGATAATTTCTGGGACAGGGTAGATGATTTCTTCAGTTAGTACTTAGTAGAAAGGTCAGCTAAACAGAGTGGGGCCAGACGAAGGTGGATTAAGGAGATGGCAGTGGTGTGGACATGTGGCCAGGATAAGGACCAGCATCAAGCCTGGCGTACATATCTAAAGAGGCCACTGGTTGGGCAACTTCAGTGTCCCCAATCACAGGCATATTGCTGACCCGGAGAGTGGCTGAGGGATCGCACACCCCCTCCACTCACAGAGCTCGGGATGAGCACAGAGCAACAGATCAAGTATTTAACTATCCATAGGCCTCTTAAGGACTCAGCCTTTCATCTCAAATGTCCCCCATCACAGTCTCAGCCCTGCATCATACTTTGGCACCAAACTTGGAAAGTTTGGCTTATTTTCTGACTGTAAGGGTACATTTTCACATGGTTGAATTTAAGGAATTTGTGGTAAAGCCTGATGTTTGTTCCCATCCTCTTTAGACAGTTGAGTAAGATGTTGAAGGATGTGTAAGGGACCACAGGAGCATAGAAAATCGGGCTTCCAGCTCTGGACCAGTTCTTAGCACGTACAAACCCTGGTCATGGTGGCAGTTGCTCCTGGCATGTAGCAGGATATTTTGAACTCGTCTCACCCATCTCTAACAGAGACACAAGCGCATGTATATATAATACAACAAGAACAACTTTTTGAGAGCTGTGGCATAGGATGAGGCCTGCTTGGTATGATACTCTGGGCCATGCTGGAAAAGGAACAGCCCACTCCCCAGTGATCCAAACCACAAAATGTCCTTTATATGGCTATACCATCTGAGATGCTTCAGTCGCAACCTGGAAAGTTGTGACCACTCCATCAACTCCAGCTAGTATGGCCATGTGTGCTGGCCTCTGCTTATTGTCCAGTCTTGATGCTTTGCATAGAATATAGGAGTTAAATTATGAGTGTTAGACAGTAGTCTGAGAACAGGATCATGTGTGCCCCAGTTGCTATGGATTCCTGTTGCTGCTAAATGTATATTGCTTATATGTAATTGTTTTCGGATACTACCATGAAAAAGCCCTACAGATTTGGTGTCTCCTCACTATGAAAGCTATCTCTTCATAATTCTGGAGGTCAGCAGTCCAACCTCAGAGTGTTCAAGGGGCACTGGCTTTAAAGGTTCTTGGGAGACCCATTGCTCGCCCCTCAGCCTCTGGTGTCCCCAGAACTCCTTAGCTTCTATCAGCATTGCTGAGTCCATACTTCTTTATTCATCTGACTTTTCCCGTCTCCATCAGTCACTGGGCTGGAAAATACTAAGACAGCAGGTTTTAAATATCCTCACCCCAAAGAGATGAGGTTACAGCTATGCTACTTAGCTTGTCTTAGTTTCTACATATCAGGAACACATACAAAAACCAAGGTCTGTCCCATAAATACATATAAAAAAGAGATCTCAATCATTGGGCTTAGAGTCCATCCAAAATCTAGGTAGTTGTATCTTAACCTGTAAGTAATCAGATTTTTATAATCTCATTTCCAAATAGAATTTCATTCTGCAGTTCCAAATAGATACGAAAATTTGGGGCACTATTTGACCTGCTTCAGTAGCTGACTTCTAGCTAACCCAGAACAGCTATATACTAGATATAGGATGGTATCTGAAGGCTTATCCACGTCCTCACTCCTGAACTCTGGAATTCACTTGTATTTTCTCCAACATTCCCTAAGGCAGGGCATGATGCACTCCTTTCTCAAGTTTTATTCCTCTCATTTTATTTTACTCTACTTCCTTTATTTCCACATTCTGCTCTCTGGGGATATCTAGTTCATTCTTGAGTCTGTGACCACTTTCCCCAACAGTACAGTAAGAACTAGCTGTATCCCCACACTGGAGTAGAACTACCAGAACTTTACATCCCTAGAGACAACTTCTCTTGCATGACTACTGATGCCCAGGTCACCAGAGGTTCCTGGAGATGTTGCACCTCAGCTTCCACAAAAGTGAGTCCTCTTAAGAATGGGGCATGGCTCAGTGTAGAATGCCCACATTACATGCAAGTCCCTGTATTCCATATTGGCTACACACATACACACTACACAGTCTCTTGGAGTTTTGCCCAAACCAAAATAGGCTTACTGTTTCAGTGAACTATAAGTTCAAAACTTGATTCTGGCATCCGTGAGTTGGGTAAGCTGGGCCAGCTGTTCCATCTTCTTTGACTGCTGAGAGCCCCTTGTGTTCTACCATACATCCTTTTGCATGGTAGTGGAGAGAAGAGCCAGCCTGCCACCTGCCTCAGATTTCCAGTGTACATTTGCTGCTCGTTGAGTGCTTCCTTCTTTCATTCCCTTTTCTTCTAGCTAAACAAGGTCAGAAGTGGTTAAAATCTGTCTAACTCAATGTGTTATTTTAGATCTCAATCAATTTTACTTTATTTGAAAGTAGCATCTCGTACCCCACATTTTCCTGTCCTGATTTTGAGCGCCCCCTCTCCCCTGACCTTTGCATTCACACTGGAAGTTTGAGTATCTTCTAAAACTGCCCTTCTGAAAGCATGATAGTGCCTACCATAAACAGCAATTCTGAATACATTTCTGAGGTTTGATTGTCTCTTAAGACAGTTTTCTACATAATATTAATCATAATTTCAACCTGTTACTTGTATTTTGTGCTGTTGTGTTTTGCTTAAGGTTACTTTGACTGGAAGTCTTTCCATACTTGGGACAGTTCATTCTTGGCCTGTGGTACATCTGCCTAGAAATTCACATGGAAACTTTACTGTGCCTGCCATATAGAACTAGCCAAATGGTGAAGTGTATGCCCCCAAAGGTGATAAGGAGAAAACTCTGTTCCTAGGTTAGTGGTAACATATCTCAGCATTAAACTATTTTACTTCTATAAGAGCAAAGAAAAACTTCCCAGATGTGTCTAGTGGCTCAAGACAAACTAAACTCTTGTCATTTCACAGTAGGGCTATTTTACCCCACAAATACCTTCTGTGACCCACAAAAGCATTGACCAGCATCAAAAGTTTTTGAGATATTGGAGGTTACACACTTTCTTTGTCTGAACTAAACTATCAAGAAGATCAAAAATGAAGGATGAAAGGAGGGAAGGAGGGAGATGTGAGAACGAGAAGAGATGGAGAGAGGAAGGTGCTAGTTAGGGAAGAAACCAGTATAAATTGGTAGACTGTAAGAGAATTATACTTTCTTTATCATTTATGGCCAAAAAAAAAATGGATTCTCTTTTCTACACAGAACCTTTGGTGCTCAGGGACTGAGATTCGAGAGTGCTTCAATGTGCCCCCTGCTCTTATCCACAATGGGCCAGAAAGAACTCATAAGATTCATTTGTCCTCAAAGCACACATCTCATAAATTCGCAACACAACAGTACCCATGGTGAAATGACCAATTAGTTGCTTTATTTTGAGTATTTAAAAATTTTTCCTTTTATCATTTAAAATAAAAAATATATAACTACATTTAAGTAGTACACATAAACCGATCCCTTTACAGCATGAATGGAAAAAGCAGGTTCACCAGAATCCAACAAGTATCCGGATGAGGATTGAACACCATGCACACTTGCTCACGTGTCTACTATTCTTTTTCTGCGCATGAAGCAAAAGCACACAGACATTGCCCATCTTTATCCCAGCTCCTCTCCTTCCTTGCACAGGAAAATGAGGGGGCCACTAAGCCTGGGCTTATCCTTTTCATGGTTTCTAGAGCAGGGCAGAAACCTCTCTGAACTGCAGTAGCCTCTCTGAACTTTGCCCAAGACATGTGAGATACACAGCCTTTGGGAGGTCAGTCTTCAAATGTCACTCTCCACACTCAGTCGTTTCTGGCTCTGTAACATAGCATGCCCTAAAGACCTTTGATATCCCTACGAGGCAGACGACTAGGCCAGCTTTTTAAAGCTGATGTTTCACTCTTCAAAATCACTTTTTAACCTTAGCTGTTCAAAATTCACTCTCTCTGTCCTGTAGCAACGAGACAAAAATAAATATGTTAAACTCAGTTAAGTGAAAAGAAGCAGGAAATAGAACTTCCAAGAGGCCCCATTGGGGTCAGTGCTGATATTACTGTTTAGATTTGGAGAGTTCATAAGCAATATCACAGCTCTTATCTGTCACGACCAGTTAAAATATAACCCTGTTGGGTTCTGAGATGACCTCTCGAACTGCCTTGAAAGTGTGTGGCAGAGAGAAGTGGATGGGGTTGTGTCTAGGTTCCAATAGATCTAATCTCTCGGTCCCCAGTTTACTTCATATAAGACCCTCGCTGAACTGTATACCACAGAGCATGTGCAAACTCTCTTCTGGCTTTTCCAAGCTTTATTTTTTTTCTGAAGAAACCGATGTTTATAGTAAGGCCAAGATGTTCCTTTAAAGCCCTGAGTCTGTGTGTGTGCTGAGCTGCAGGGCTCTATGGATTTATCAGACTCACACAATGACACTGCATTCTTGACACACCACCAAGCGCTAGACTTTTGTTGTTTTGATTTTGGTAGCACAAGCAGCTTTGGCCCAGTTGACAAATTTCATTCAAAGGCACCAGCAGGGGAAGTTAGGGCTAATCCCCATGGTGGCTGGAGACTGAGAGCTTGTCTGGGAAGCAGGCTGCTCTAGATTTGAACCCTTGGGTCTCTAACAAGGTGGCCTTGTAGGTACCCACCCAGAGAGACTGCTGCACTAAGTTGGTAGCTGCTGCTATCATTCAATTGCTCATTTCTTCAACAGATGCTCAAAATGTGTCTCATGAACCAAATCTATGCTGAACATTTTGTTGCTGTTTCAAACACAGTCTCAAATAGCCCAGACTGGGCTTAAATTCAACGGTATCTTTGAACTCCACATCCTCCTGGCATTACTTCTGACATGCTCTGATTACAGGTGTGCACCACCACACTCCAGTCTGTTAAACAGTTAAAGCAGCTACATAAGGTAGCTGGTAGTAGCATGCAGTTTGAAATGAACTCTCAAGTCCTCCTTATAAGCCTGATAAAACGACCTAAAACAAGAAGCTTTAGACAAAGGCAGAGGAGGAGAGTGAGTGACAGGTCCTCGGCATAGAGACCGTATGTGACTTGTCATTCTAAGCCTGTGCAACACCCACACTGTAGCTTTCAGTGTGAAGAAAGAATGTAAGACACTGTGCAGAAGAATAAAGACAGCAAGGGTAAGAAAAGGCAATGATGAAAGACAGGAGAGAAGAGAAGGGAATGGGGAGGGGAGGGAGAGGCAAGGGGAGAGGGGCAGGGAGGGAACCAGTGAGGACATCTTTCACAGGCAGGAGGCCAAGTGTTAGCCCTCCTTCCCTAGTGGGGAAAGTTCATCATATTTAATAAGTAGAAACCTTACTTTTATAAGATACAAGGGCCCCAAAGGCTACGACAGAGTTACAGCTCCATAACTCAGAGAGGTGGCATGAGGAAAGAGGCAGCCTCTCGAGCTCAACTAGACAAGAGAAAGGCCAAGAAAGTGAGTCCTATGCTTGAAGTGTTTCGTTGGCTTCTGCTCCTTCTTGGCCTTTTACTTCCAATCCCTCAGCGATTCCTAATTTGGAAGAGCTAGTCCAGTGAAGAATTTGCCAGCATCCTCTTTAGTAGACACAAGGACTCTGCACTTTTATTTCCTTGCACATGCAATTCTTCAAAAAGAAACATGTGAACTGAACAGTGTCTAAAATACGTAGTCACTTCCTGAATAAGGGAGAGTTTCTGGGAATTCATTTGGCATTAGTGTGCTAGTTACGTGTCGAGCAGTATTCCTGTATTGCTATTATGTTGTTGATTCCAATTGCAGAAGCATTATAAAACAGCCAAGGAGGTGAGAGACGATGGTGTTTTGTAAAACATATTCAATGTTCACATACTTGTAGTTTTTCAAAAGTAAACTTTAAAAAGACATTGGAAAGTAAAGCTGGGCAAAGTTTTCTTTGTTATCAGTTAGGGATTCACATTTAACAGCCCAAGGAACATGACAAAAGTATGCCTCAAATGCAACCAAGCCTCAAACGCAACCAAGCAATCCTGCTTTGCCATAGCCTCGTGAGATGTGCACTAATCCCCTTTAAATAAGGATAGAGTTGATGTATAAGACCTCATGAAGCTAAGGTAGCAAACTGTAGTTGAAGCAGAAACCTGAGGACTGCACTTGACAGTTGAGCCTTACTCTTCCTCTGGCCCCTTCTTCTTACAACTTGAGTATCTGGATGGAGAAAAGCTCTTGATCACGTGTGGTTATAGCTTCCTTCGTCTGTCTTGTCATTCATTCTGGATAATTCCTAATGTTTAAACAACTGTAAGTTGCAGTATCTGTCAAGCAAAGTACAAAGGCTAAAAATGTAGTCCCTGGTGTTGAGCAGCCTAGAGATTCTTGTGGACTTAACCTTCCATTCAGATGCATAAGCGCTACCTTACCATGACACTGGAGATCCCCAGGTTGGTTCACTCCCTCACTGAAGGCCCCAGGTTGGTTCACTCCCTCACTGAAGGGTCCTCTGTGTTTCAGGGCATGAACTATCTAGAAGACCGGCGTTTGGTGCACCGTGACTTGGCAGCCAGGAATGTACTGGTAAAGACACCACAGCATGTCAAGATCACAGACTTTGGGCTGGCCAAACTGCTAGGTGCTGAGGAGAAAGAATACCATGCAGAGGGGGGCAAAGTAAGTCCTGAGAGTAAGTCAGGAAGCATTGTCCTGACAGCCCAGACTCATCGACTCATCCCCCTATCTGTCAGCTGTGGACAGCATTTACCATAGATTCTGAATGTGGTCACAGCAGCCACCACCATGACCTGAGTCTAGTCAGGGTCATCCTCTACTTTGTAAATAGATTTCCATGGGAATAGTGAAGAGGGAGACCTGCCGAGAGGCCAAAGAGAGCCAGTTCCCATCTCCAGGTGACTATAAACAACTGTGAGTTCCACTCCCTCCTCTAGGAGGAAAACACCCCTCAAAAGAGCAGCTGGGAAATATCGCCACTAATTTAGTAACACCCTCTCTTGAGACTAATATTTAACAAGCTGTGTTGTTCTGGGAGTTCCGGTGAGTCTATGACTCACGCCAGGATTGCCAGTGAGAGTACTGGCTATCTTCCCTCTGTGTTGTTTTTAGCCCTGTCTAGGGCTCTGTCACAGCAGTGAAGGGTTCACAGCCTTGTCAGACACCCCCCAAGGTCCCCCAGCCATCCCCAGCTACAGCCCTCCTATCATGCTGACAGTGTGTCTCTAAATAGCACTCTGAACCCCATGAACTTGGTTATTGAAAACATACCCAAAGTCTGGGAGCTAGGACTGCAGGGAAATTCCACAGCCTCAGTTCATCAAAACAGTCCATTGCCCAAAATGTTCTCAGTGGCAGCTTTCATGAAGTAACTCGGGGACCCACCTGTTCTCTGGTAAATTTAAAACCCCCCCTACTAAGGGGGGGCATAGGCCTGAAGTGTGTCAGGAAGGTCACTTTATTTACCACATTAGTCGACTGTAATTACACCTAGAGTGACAGAATGTTTTAGCTGTAAGCTAATAGTCTTGCTACTTTCTCTCACATCGTCCCAAGGTGCCTATCAAGTGGATGGCTTTGGAATCAATTTTACACCGAATTTATACACACCAAAGCGATGTCTGGAGCTATGGTGAGTCAAAATTCTGACGCTAATGAATCTGTACTGAGGCTAAGCAGGCTCTTATTATTTGTTAATTGACACTCTATGCTCTGATATGCAAGTGTTACCTTGCAAGACAGTGAGCATGTCCATCTACTGAACTAAGAGAATCTGACAAAGGAAACAAAGCTTAACTACCACACCAAGTATCACTAGAGACAGCCATGAACACATGCTGCAAGAAAGGTCACGGGGGTGGAGGAGGAGGAGCCAAATATGGGTTAAGCTTCTGCCTGCAGAGGTCAAACAAACATAAGTCCCTGCTGTGAACTTGACATGAACCAAAAATGGCAAATGAGGTTTCATAGGGCAAGCATTTCTGATAGAGAATTAATGTTTTCTTATGAGATAGCCAAGACTGTTGATTCATGTGGTGTTTGATTTAGTCTCTGTGTTAAAGAGAGTAGATTGGCAAGGGTGATCCATAAGGATAACTGTGGGGAGGAAGTAAGAATGGGAAGGTAGTTACTGCTTGTTCCCAAGGAAGACCTGCCTTACCAGGGCCCAACTACAGCACAGCCATGCACAGGTGACATTCACCTTCACAGGTGACCACTCTTGCCAAGCCTAGATTGCTTGTTCTTCCCTTATCTTGAGCCTATTGTGGCCTAACCAGTAATGCCGTTGGTTCCTATATCAGGCACTTGGTCCTTGAATTTCTCCCCAGGCAATTCAGGGAAAGGTTAGAAAACATTGTGGTTATAAAGCGTAACTGTCATCTCAAAGGGAAAGGGATAGTTTATTCTGAACTAGGTAGACATGGGTGGTCATCACCAAGGAACACAAATTCAGGTTGCCCTGAACATGTTCCCTCATGGAAACAGATATGTCAGATCATATCAGCTACCAAACAAAGAGCATCAATATATCAATATATCACTATATCAAATGGCATGCAGTTTACAACCTTGCTCCGTAAGGTCCTTGTTTGCATGACTGTGTGCATAAAGGTAGCAAACTCATGCTCCACAGTTGTCCTTGTCTTTAAGGTTATAACTATCCTACTTATCAGTCAGCAATATATGCCTTACATTGAGCTAAATGGTTATTGTATAAGATCTTACTATATCCTTGAAGTTGTGCTATGAAACAGATGCTATTATCTTACTTGATATGTAAACCCAATGTATCAGTAGTCAAACCAATGGCTCCCCCTCTACAGAAACATAGGTTTTAAAATACTTACAAACAATAATAGCTAAGGATTAGGTGGTGTGTTAACCATTAACTCATGACATAATGACTTTCTTTGCCTGTTCTGTCTGCTCAGGAGTCACCGTGTGGGAACTGATGACCTTTGGGTCCAAACCTTATGATGGGATCCCTGCAAGTGAGATCTCATCCATCCTAGAGAAAGGAGAGCGCCTTCCACAGCCACCTATCTGTACTATCGATGTCTACATGATCATGGTCAAGTGTGAGTGACTGGGGTGACCATCTACCCTCCTGTCGATTGCCTGGAAGGATGCAACTGCTCTTAGACAAATAGCCCAGGCCTTCATTTCCCCGAAGAAATAGCATCGGCCTTCAAGGCAGGCACACACTTCCAGAAACATCATAAACACCTCCAGCAAGCATTCTTTAAGAATCACTTGCTTGACTCATTCTGACCTCATACTTGCCCATATTTGCAAGCAAATAAATTAAAACTGAAGTCTTTCATAAGCCATTATTCCCAGATATTCTATTATCTCAGTTGCTCAACGAATTTACAAAGTTGCATTACGTTTGAGACCTGTTGCTAGAGAGACTTAATGTTTCAAAATGCCTAACAATGAGTAACCATGGGAGTTTGATAGAATCAGTGTTTCCTCTTTGGCTTAAATCTTTCAAACAGTGGATTTATGTGAGGCCCCCTGCAGTAAAGCAGTTAATCATGTTAATGTCAACAGGAGTGTGCATTTGGATCCGTGTTATTAGTCCACACACATCCGCAAGTGTGCTCTGAAAGTAATAGTACACATGTGATAGCATTGGCATAGAAACAGCATAGGAATATGACAGAGCGGTGGTCTTAGTTTGCATTCTGCTGCTGTGATAAAACACTGACCAAAAGCAACTTGTGGAGGAAAGGCTTTATTTGGCTTACAGATTACTGTCTGTCATCAAGGGAAGCTAGGGGAAAAGCTTAAATCAGGAAGCTGGAGGCAGGAACTGAAGCAAAGATGGAAGAACTCTGCTTACTGGCTTGCACTCCCTGGTTCATTCAGCCTGCTTTCTTAGACAACAGAAAAACAGAAACTAAAGGATGGCACCAACCACAGTGGGCTGGGCTCTCCCTCGTAACACATTAATCAACAAAATGTTGCTGACAGACCAATCTACTGGAAGCATTTTTCTCAGCTAAAGTTTCCTCTTCCCAAATGACTCTAGCTCATTTCCAGTTGACAAAAAATCTAACCAGCACAGCTGCTTTAACATAAATAACAATATAACTCTGAACTTTGGACCAGAGAATTAGTCTATTTTCACTGCTTTGGTTTCAGCTGAGGAAGCTGAGGCTCAGAAAGGTTACATTATTTGTCTAAGGTCACATAGCAGTTTAGCCTAAAATAGCTTGATATCCAGTTGAAAAAATAAATCGAATCCCCAAAAGGCACAAGGATTTCAAGTGCACAGTTTATCCTCCCCATGGCTGGATCTATGTTTAGATCATGGGTAAAGCAATGCATCACTGTGACTACTAAATATATCTTTATACAGAAAGTACTAGCATTATGAGACCCTAGGTTCAATCCCCAGCACTGATAAATAATTGATTGATTGATAGACAATAGATAAATAGATAGATAGATAGATAGATAGATAGATAGATAGATACATACATACATACATACATACATACATAGATTGATAGATACATAGATATATTGATCAATGCACAGATAAATTATTAGATGGTAGATAGATAGATGATAGATAGATAGATAGATAGATAGATAGATAGATAGATAGATAGAACACAGATCCAGCCTTGTCACTTGCATGAATGGTAACTGAATGGAGAATGCAATAAGGCCTTGACGCTTCTCTAAATTTAATCTGGCTTCTAGTTTGGAAGGTTGTGGATTAGGACAAACAAAACACAGAGACATATCAAAGTCAGAGTAGATCAGTAGTGATTGCACACAGTAATACCCTGTGGTCACAGAAGATCACAATGTAAGAATGATGACTAAGGAAGGACAAATGTAAAACATTAGCATATATGTTATTGTTACTCTGACTGAAAACTGTTGTATAGGGCTGGGAATGACTGCACAAGACCCTGGGTTACAACTTCTCAGGGACTTCAAGAGCTAACCAGTGTCAGGTCATAAACCAAGGCTCTCACAAAGATTATATGCTTTCATTATTCATTTGCCTAACAAGATCACAGCATAAAATGCTTAAAGCCCTCCTTGTCATTCCTTCCAGGGTTCTAACTGCTATGCTTTGTTTCACTTCTATTTTCAGGCTGGATGATAGATGCTGATAGCCGCCCAAAGTTCCGAGAGTTGATCATTGAGTTCTCCAAAATGGCCCGAGACCCACAACGCTACCTTGTTATCCAGGTACCAGGCCAAAGTTTGTTCTTCCATGGTCAAAATTTCTCCAGTACCTCCAGATGCCACTGTGCTGGGTCAACACAGCCTGTGGGGCCTGTTCTTGTTAAGAAATCCTTTTGTGTGTTGGAGCTGCCTCCATTGTGATACAATGACTGAACTACATGGGGATAAATAGTGGCTCCCACACAACTCCAAGTCCTCACTGCATTTAAGCAGTCAAACCTGGACCCAACCTGCTCCTCATATGCAAGTGTAACCTCTTATTTTGGCTAATTAGAGCCCTATCATTGCTAAAGAGAGAAGCAAGACTTCACTGTCAACCTACATGGCTTCTCTCTCAACTCCCTGTTCACACCTGTGCCACCTTGTACAACCCATTGGCCTGGCTCTAATTCTGGAAGCATGAAAGCAAGATCATTTGTCTTTGTGGATTTAAAGCTTCAGTAAAATAATATATGAAAAGTATACTGCATAGCATTGGGTACTGGACATAAATGTTCCCATAGCTTCTTTTTCTCCTCTCTCTGAAACTGTTTTTCATGTGGAGGTTGTCAGACTCAGGAGAATTCTGTGTTTTATTACATTCCAAGTATCCATACACTGATATGGGGAAAGAGCTGTATATATGAGGACTACCACAGGGGTTATACTATAACTAAGCTGGCAAACCTGTAGGCACCCTTAATCAAGGCCTTTACTTCTATAGCCAGGAAGCAGAACAATCCCCATTGCCCTTTGTAATAGTATTAAAATCTCTGCACCAGGGGGATGAAAGAATGCATTTGCCGAGCCCTACAGACTCCAACTTTTACCGAGCCCTGATGGATGAAGAGGACATGGAAGATGTGGTTGATGCTGACGAGTACCTTATCCCACAGCAAGGCTTCTTCAGCAGCCCGTCCACATCACGGACTCCCCTCCTGAGTTCTCTGGTATGCAATCTCTC